ATGAAAATATATTTCTATTCCTATACAAAATAACTAAAAGAGAAAGAAAATAACAACAGAAAATCAAGCAGAGCAAGAGGAAACTTTTCAACATTTTTTCTCCATATTGTAGCATCCCACATTCAAAGCTCTTGCATTTATCCAACCTCAGCTCTATATAGTTGGCTGTCAAGTAACCATTTGCACACCTTTAAACATGAGCATGATAATTAAATTTTATTTTATTTTGAAAAGCTGATGGATATATTTCAGCTCTTCATCTGTATTTTCCTATAAGCAAAAATTCTTAATGGCAGGCAAATGCAGTTGTGCACTCTATTTACATTTTTTACATATTTTATACTATTTTGTTCATAGTGGAGGCATTAGTTTTCATATGGCTTAAACAGAAGCAAATGAACAGGAGAAGGAAGCAAAATCAGTTTAGAAATGGATTTCACAAGTGAAATAAAAAGCAAGTGTAGGGCTACTATTGAAACCTTCCAGAGCTTTAAAGGAGGAGGAAGGTAGAGAGTGAGAGGAAAAGGATGTGGGATCTAAAAAGATAGCAAAGTTATAGATGTTTAAAGTGATGTTTAAAGTAATATTTAACTATCAGAAATTGAAGTTGCTTTGTTTTTGTTTTTTTTCTGAAAGCCCTTTCAGAGTCTGAGTATGCATGATATAAAGAAGGTTGAAGTTTGCGTATGCCAGTCTGTAAGAGCAGATGCTGTGAGGCTAACTTAATCCCTTCTGTCCACTTAGATAATATTAAGGATTCATACATAAGAGATGGAGTGCAAAAAGTAGCCAACAGAAAGCAGCGACCCAAAGGACCTGCAAATGGATGGAGCAAAAAAGCTCAACTAATTTTAGAAACGGCAAAAGAGGATTACCACTGCCAAGAAACATTGAAGTAGCTGCTTCAGGAGGATCCAAAGAAGCTTTTGTTCTACTTCAGCCAACAGTTTCTGATTCAAAGGGAGTTTTAACAAAGGAACAAGAAGAGAAAAGATCAAGACAAAGAACCCTCAGTGAATAGAAAGATGTGCTGAAACACAGATGACCAGACAAGCAAGAATAAATGTGTCTTGGTTATGACACCACAACCTGGGTAGGGAAATATTTTGATTCTCTTCTAATTGACACATATCGCTTTGATTATTGTTTACCAATGTCTTTTAAATATTGTATAAATCATTATCTTCCATGAATATAAAATTTCTATTAAAAGAAAGTAATACCCATAACTTTCATTACTATATACTTATATGAAGCTGAGTGTTTCCCACAGTTTCATGTATCTCAGTAGATTTCATTTGTTCTGTTTAAATCAATTTAAAAATTTTCAAAGACCTGAACGGGTCTTTGCCCATTTGCAAGGTCTTAAGCAGAAAATTAGGAAAATATGGTAATTAGTTACACTAAAAGGGTTTTTACAAAAAATTACAAAAAATTACTAGGTTTTCTGTTGTGAGTTTGTGTTTTTTTTCATAGGCAACTATTTTTTGACTTTGCATTACATCACTTTTAGTCTTCTTTTCTAATGTCTAGGCTACAGTAGCTTCATATATTACACTGAAATTTGGCCATGTGAGGCTGCCTTATGAAAAAGAATCTTAAAAAACCAGCTTTCATACACTTAAGAGAACAGAAGGGAATAAGACTGTAATTAGTATAAATGCCAGGGGTTTGGAAGCAGGGGGTTGAAGGGGCTGCACATGTGCCTTCTGCCCTCAGGTAGCATGGAACTGTCCCATGCTTATCACGGCTGGCCACATCTGGCTCCACAATGGACCCACCACAGGACACAACTGAGTCCACCAGTAGAATTTGTGGCATCTCTGTGAAGATGTATTTAAGATAAGGCAACAAACACTGAAGAAAAGGAACAAGGTCAGAGCATGAGTGCTCCATTACAGAGTTAGTAAAGCCCTCTACAGACTGAGCCCATGGATAACCCACACTGGAGCAGGTTCTTTCCCTAAGAGGCTGTGGCCCATGGTCAGTGTACATCAAAGCAGAAGAAATGAGTAAGAGGGAAGAAATGGAAAAAGAAAGGAGTAAGAAATGAGGAGTAGCAGAAATTAACTCTTACACCTTGACCTGAGCCTCCTGCACTGCCCACCATCAAAGAGACAAAGTGTAGTCTGTGGTGGAGTAGATAGAAGCAGGGGAAGAAGTGCCTGGAATGAAGTTAAGCCTACAAAAGAGGAGAGGCAGGGTGTTTTTTGTATTTGTTTTCCTATTTGTTTTTGTTTTCCAAAACCCTAGTCAGTCATTAAATGTTTTATAATATGACTGTTTTACCCAGGAGAGTAGTTGATGACTGATTTTCCACATCTTCCTTTCAAACATGAATTTTTTTTTACTCTTGTTCTTATTTTCTGTCCTCTTCTACTGTGGGGGTGGAGTGAGTGAGTGAGTGGCAGTGGGAGGGCTTCACTGTTACTCAGGATTAAACCATGACCCAAATATGCTAGCACAAAATGTGTACTTGTGCAAACAAAATCAACAAGCCAAGGGAGTAATTAGGTGAAAAGGGTATGAAATGCCATGGAGCTACAGAATAAAATTATGCACTGTTCTGAAGTTCAGAATTTGGCTTTTGGCCCCTTCAAAATGTTTTTTTTAATTAAAAAAAATTAAACTAAAGGAAACAGTAAGAAATTAGTAATTCTGGTTACAATGGTACTATGTAGGAAATATTAAGTTTCAAGGAGGGAACTCAGAAGTTACAGTTATTACTGTGTAATACAGTGACAACACAGGCTATTGAAAGGATTAACTAACGCCCTCTCAAAAGTGATGCAGAAATAAACTCTTGAAAAGAAAAAGAGGCACCTGTACTACGTGGCTTTTCGCGAATCTCTTTTGGATTTTTATCAGGGATTTGGTTTTCTGAAAACTCATGCCAGCGCAGCAGTGAAGTTAATGTTCAAAAATGGTCTTTACAAGAAGGTTAAAGTTGTCTCTAACTGAAAAAAGATAAGGTTTCATTTCTTAACAAACTGAAATACTTTGTGCTATATATTTTTGTTTGTTTTCTAAATGTATTAAAGATTTGTAATATATCCCATCCTTAGAAGTGTTCATGGCAGGATTTGAGCAACTTGGTCTAGTGAGAGGTTCCCTGCCCATGGCAGAGGTCTTGGAACTAGATGATCTTTAAGGTCCCTTCCAACCCAAACCATTTTATGATTCTATGATATTTATTTAATTTCCTCACAGTCTCTCCTTTAGTCTACCATTGACCCAGAAACTACTCATGCCTATTACCTGACCATGCATTTTTACATTTTTACTATTAAGGCTATTTTTTATTGATCATACAGCCTTGAGTATGCACACTTAATGCCTTAACATGCTGAATATTTTTTCCTGGTTATGTTTTTTTTTGAGAGTTGCAAAAGACATTCCTTTAATTTTACATATGATGGGCTACTGAATCATTTGACGACTTAGTAACATACATTCAGCAATATAACATTAAAAATTCAATGAGCAAACCAAAACAATAGTAAAAACCCCGTTATGTAATCACTACATTCGTAGGTAGTAAAAAGAAATAGAAGACACACAGCATATTCAAATCTCCTACACCTACCAACTCACAGGTTTTATGTGTCTTGCATAAAACACATTTTTGAAAGTCTGTTCTCTTTTATTACATATTACCTCACATCTTCAGCAGGAATGCATGTATGTGTGCCATCTGAGACATAGTTTGTTCTTTTTTTCTCACTAGTTCGAAATGAACAGCTCAACAATCCAAACTACTTCACTCAAACACCAAAATAGTTATCACGTGATTTCTCAATTGTGGGGTAGATTTAATAAAGTAAGTTCCTACTGTTTATTTTTTAACAGTCTTGTAAAATAGAAATTTCTTAGTAAAGAGTGTGATTTATTATATTTGATATGAAAGATATCATACAAAAAACAAGTCAGTGCTTTTCATAAACAGTTATAGCAGCTCTGGAGCTACAGTAAGAAAGCTTCTTTCATGTAAACTCACTGAGAATGCACATTCCAGAAGATCTATGAATCAGGAAGTCCAAATAGAGATATACAATATTTGTTGAAAACAGTAATCAAATATTTTCTGTTCTTGCAAAAAATAGGCTATTTGAGGCAATGACACGGAGTTGTAAAATTTACTATTATCAAAGATCAATTTTATGAAAAAAATAGCCATAGGCTTTTGTTAATTGCAATTTTTACATTAGTTGACTAATTTTATCAGATTCTGCACTGCACTTTATGTAGCTAAACTCTTCCTATGCTAAATTTTCTATAAGAAATAAACAAAATTCTTGAAGTAAATCCTGATAAGAATGCCATGATTTTTTTTTCATCAGATAAATGGAAAAAACACAAAAAAGGTTGCTGTCCCCTGAAGGTCCACTGCTACACTGTGGATATTGAAAAATATTATTTACAGTATTCCCATACACTAATGAAGTTCAGTTTTCATTAGCACTTCATCAATAGAATGATCTTGTTCCAAATGGTGATATCCTCAAATTAATGCTTCAGATGATTTCACTCTTACTCCAAATACTCCTTGTTCATAAAAACAGTGGGTAGAATCTTACAGGTTAATTAAACTTTTAACAGCTCAAAGCATGCAGAAATAGGTAGTAAGAGATAATAGTGACTAAATGCTACATTAGTAAATAGAAACTTACTTTTTTACAAACATAATTTATACAACTATAAAGTCAATTACATAATTTAATTATAAAACTATGATTTCTGTACCTGTTACACAGTATTTTTCAGAATATGAGGACCTTTTAAAAGCTAAGTACTGCCACAGGCTAAAGTAAAGCAGATATCTCCTGATAATAAAATACCCATACTCTAACATACTGTAATTTGATATAGCAGGTTGTAAAGCAAAGTATACTTTTATGACAATGTTTTGTAAGGGGCACTTCCCATTTCCTCTAAAACTTCAGGCACTATTTATCCTAACAAAATCAGCCACAACAAAAAATGTATTTCTTTAAATGTACCTTGGTAGTGAGCACTAAATCCACGGTATCGGTGATTGCTGTCTGTTACAAAATGTAGTCTGAGCCAGTTTTTGTTGCTGATAACTGGAGGAGGTATATTCAATCCAGACAGCCTGAATCAAAACAAACAAATAAAGATTATTATTATTAAAAGATTTAAAAATTATCAGGAAAACCTTTATATTCAAAATAGTATTCACTGACATGCCCCCTGTGGGACTTTTTATTTATCAGTTGGTAGGGTTTTAACAAGCATGAATAGTCAAAGTTGTCCACTTTGCATGACCAAATGATGGGATACAAATCAGTGCTAATCCAAAACCAACACAATCATGTTATTGGTCAGACACAGCACTGTCAAGATGCAACTACAATGGCACTCAGGCTAGAAAGAATTTGTGTCTATCCACCCACTAACAGGTGTAGGGGGTTTCTGTGACTGGGTTTTGGTAGCAGGGGGGGCTACAGGGTTGGCTTCTGTTAGAAGCTGCTAGAAGCTTCCCCCGTTCCATGGAGCCAATGCCAGTCAGCTCCAGAATGGGCTTCCTGCCACTGGCCAAGGCCAAGCCAATTAGGAGTAACAGTGATGCCTCTGGGATAACATATTTAAGAACAGAAGGTTGTTGCGCAGAAAGAATTCCAGCCTGCGAAGAACAGAGTGAGAACACGGGAACAACAATGTAGACACCGAGGTCAGTGCAGAAAGAGGTGGAGGAGGATCTCCTGGCACCGGAGCTGTGGTCCCTGCAGCCCGTGGTGCAGAGAATGGTGGAGCAGCTGTGCCCCTGCAGCCCACGGAGGAGCATCGGGGTGCAGAGACCCACCTGCAGCCCACAGAGGAGCCCATGATGGAGCAGGTGGATATCCGAAGGAGGCTCTGACCCCGTGGGAGGCCCAAGATGGAGGAGGGTCCTGCTGGAGACCTGCAGCCCATGGAGAGGGAAGCCCACACTGGAGCAGGTTTTTCACGGCTAGGACTTGTGGCCTCTATGGGGGACCCACACCAGTACAGCTCATTGATGAAGGACTGACCCCATGGAGGAGTGACCCCCAGGACAGCATTTGGGAAGAACTGTTGCCCATGGGACAGACTCACACTGGAGAGGTCCCTCAAGGACTTTCTCCTGTGAGAGGGACCCCACGGGAGCAGGGGAAGGACTCCTCTCTCTGAGCAGCGGCAGAAACAACAACTGCCATAACCCTCATTCCCTGTCTCCCTGCACCATGGGGGGGGAGGAGGTTGAATTTTGAAGGAAGGAGGGGTGGGAGGAAGGTGTTTTTAAGATTATTTTACTTCTCACTCTTGCTCTGATCCTGTTTGTAATAAATTCAATTAATATCCCCACTTTAAGTCTGTTTTGCCCGTGATGGTGATCAGTAAATCTCTCCCAGCTCTTATCTCAACTCATGAATCCTTCACTTTTTTTTCTCTTCTCTGTCCAGGGGTAGAGGGGAGTGAGAGTGCAGCTTTAGTGGGTACCTGGCATCCAGCCAGGGTCAATCCATTACACGGGCTAGGCAGAACCTTGCTCTAGGCACCAGGGAAAGGATTGTGCCCTGTGACTTTCACATTCAAGATATGGAAGAAGAGAGTTTAGGTTATGCAGACCACTCTCTGAAAATACAAAACAGACACCTATTTTTCAAGAGTAAGTAATTTTCTACATTCAGAGTATAAAGAAAAAAGAAATATTCTATCACTTAAGTGACTTTGAAATCAGTTATTAAAAGTACAAGAGAAGGGAATTGTGCTGGATTGAACCCAGATAGCAGCCAAGCACCACACAGCTGCTCACTCCCTCCCTTCCCTGCCCCCAACAGCGTAAAGGGGAGAGAACAGACAGAGATAAAGCAAGAAAACATCTGGGCCAAAATAAAGATTCTTCAAAAGACAGTTTAATAGGTAAAGAGGTGAGAAAAAAGCAAAAAAACTCCAAGTGATGCAAAGGCAATAATTCACCATATTCCACAAATAGATAATCAAACCAGTTTCGAAGCAATGACTACTTGTCTCTCAGCCCTTCTCCTCATCTTTTATTGATGACCAGGAAGTTACATGGTATGAAATATCCTTTTGGTCAATTTGTGTCAGTTGTTTAGGTTTTGACCCTTCCCAGTATCTTGCCTATGCCTGGTCTACTCACTATGGTGACAGAGAAGGGGGAAAAGAAAGCCTTGATGTTGTGCAAACCCAGCTCAGCAGTAGCCAAAACTTTGTTGTGGTATCAACTCTGCTTTAGTCACAAATCCAAAATATAGCACCACATAGGCTTCTACAAAGAACATTAACTCTGAGTCACTAGACTCAGTATACAAAATTACCTGGCTTTTTTCTGGGGTTTGTTTTTGTTTTGGTTTTGGTTTTTTTTATTTTTAACATCAGGATATTGCTCCAATTACTGTAGTCTTTCATCTTGACTTGTTCATTAGGAATATTTGTATTTAAGTTCTTGTTGGTTTGGTTGGTTGGGTTTTTTTGTTGTGTATTTTTTTCTTTAAATTTTATTTTTAGATGAGATATCATGTTAGAAAGAAGGTGAATAAGCTATACATAAAAAATTCTTCCACCAAGCCAGTAACCCCAGATATATTTCTCACCAAAGTCAGTAAGATAAATCACAAGATTATTTATGTCCTTCCATTTATTTCTACACAAAGCTTTTCCTGTAGTTAGAATAAAATACTAGCCAACAAGTATACCATTTTATGTTCAGACATAGAGGATTCCTCTTCTATTTTGTGATAAACTGTATTCATAACAAAGCAACTAATTTTGAAGTGTTTTTTTAAGTGGAAAACCCCCCCCCAAACCTTCCTTAAATAAATAACTAATAAGCCTATGTAGGTATTATTTTGTGGGGAAGACTTTTGAAAGAATAACTGTTTGGAGGTAGCATTCTTTCAATCTTTTCCCAACCACTCTATCTGAAAACAGAATATGTTTAAGAACACTTTCCAAATTTTTGAAACTCTTCTAGCACCCTCTTTCCCTCAGGCACTAATATAAATGACAAAATGCTTGACTGTTACCACGGGTTATTAAAACTCCTTCAAATACTTGCAAAAAAATTTATTTTATACTATGGAGACACATTAACTCATCTAATTCATTTCAGTTGGAGAGCACAGAGAATCTAAGTTCTTTAACCTTGTGAAATTGACTCCAAATCCTAGATCCTAGAAACAAAAACAGGACTATGAGATTACAGAAGGATGTGATAAATGGATTAGGTAATATTGTATTAGTATTAGTATTAGTTCTTATATTAGTACCTCTTTTTTGCTGTACCCCCTCACCTCGGCCTCACAGAATTGCCACACATTTCTGATGGGCCTGTAAAAACACCACTCCAAGGAACAACGGTTTCATATTAGTTGGTATTTGGGGTTTAAAAATCTAGATAGTCTGTGTAGTTCTCTGACAGGCTCAAGTCATTAATACTATCCCTAATACAAAATATGCAAAAATCAATCAGAAATGCTACTTATGGTCTCTCTTGATTTATTTATTTATTTTTAAAATATATATTGCAAATTAAGAAGTTACAGCACTTATACGGGAAACTGAACATATCAGTTTAATCCTTGTTTCAGACAAAGGGGATCCAAAAATGTCATTTAGTTCATCACCTTTGATACAAGGTGACATGTATAGAGACGCAGTTTTAATACAAATATGTATATTCATTTATGTGCTCTATCTACCATTCATATTACTAAAGTGCCATTCTAAGAAAGGATTAATGTGTTCATCAAGCCAGCAGAAAAATGAAAAGTGTTCTGGTCTGCAAAGGTTAGAGTGTAGGCAGAAGACACAGAAAGGAAACCTCAGCTCTCCAACTCTCTTCCGAGGTTGGACTGAGTGATCTTTGAGGTCTTTTTCAATCTTGATGATTCTATGATTCTACCCCTTTCTTATCTGTACTAAAAAGGGAAATACTTGTTTTTATATCAACGAATACTTTATTTAACATTTTATGATCAAATAATTCTAATATTAAATTTGTATTTGTGATATTAAATTGTTACAGTCAGTAAGATTGATAGAAATATTCATTCTGATGAAATCCATTTTTCCAGCTGCCAGTACTTTGCTGTGTGGCTTCCAGGATCACTCTGGGCCCCCAGACTGCCTGGTTATTCAGCTGCTGAACTCAGTGGACCTTTCAATTCTCTTTTTCTGATTTGCCTCCCAGTCAGTATAAAAACTTTTTCTACCAAACCATCAGAAACTTCATAAAATTATATGCAATACTAATATCCAGAATTTAACGACAAAACAAAACAAAAAAAACCCCAAACCAATTAATTTCCTTTTCTGATTAGCTTTACTACATGATGCATGGTTCCAGCTAGATATTAAATTACATTTGCACATTGCTCTGTAGCAACTAAAGTCAGAACTGCACGATAACATATATTCAACATTAAGAGGCAGAAGCCTAAACTTATTGATTAGAAAACATCAAATATTCCTGAATTTTCACTCTGAATTTTTTCATGAAATGCACTTTTCTACCAGCCATAAAGTGACTTTAGTTGCTACAAATTTCTTGTTACAAATGTAAGAAGTATACTTTAGTTTGATGCTTGTTTTTTGGAAGGTAGAAGTTTAATTAGGTGTCCTTTTTGGTACAACTATTTCTCTGTATAATAATATTACCTAATGATGCAAGAGAAAATAGCTCTTTTATTTAAATTCTCACCCTCCAACTAATTGTTGGGTGATATGGAGGCAACAACCTGTCACTGGTAACATATTTTAAAAAAAGCTTGTTACTGGAAGAGGTCTTACTGAACAATTAGAACAAAAATAAGGCTGTAAAGCACAGTTCCTAACACCTATTATGACTCATATATATTCTACCTATAATGAGGTTTATCTTTAAAAATCACAAAAACATGTGAAAATAAATTTTAAGTAAGTGTGTTGTCCAAGGCATGAGAAAATGTTGCACTAGGTATTTTAATATGAGCATGGTAAAAGACTAATTTTGTTTCTAAAATAGCTAATATACAGTTAAATGTACCTAACAAATCAATTATTTATTAATACATCTATCATTGACAGCTCTAAGTTATATTTGAGGTGATTCTAAGTAAGCACATGCTG